GATGTAGTCCTACTGTTATCCCCATTTTACAGATGAGGAAACTGAGGCACCATGAATCTCAGTCTCAGACCTTGTGTGGAGAAGAGCTGGAGGTTGGTTTTGGACAGTCCAGCTGCAGAGCCCGAGCTGGCTCCCCCTTTTATTCTCAAATGTTCTCTCTGGTCCTCCCCACAAGCCCCCATGGTACTTATTATCTCCATTACAGGGGATGAAATTGAGGCTCCACGTGATTTCTTCATGATCAGCACCTGCAAAGCCCAGAGCCTTTCTCATGCACCTACTGCTTGAGTCCACCTTCAGGCCTGGGAGGGAACATTGGACTCAGGAAACAGAATGTTGAGAGGCCAATAAGCAGATGTTTGAGGTTAGAAAAAAGAAATCAAACCCCCTGGAGTGGGGGCTGGTGAGACCACAAGCTGTGGCCCTGGGTTTAATGGACCTGCTGGTAAGTCAGCCCCGCTATGCACAGAGACATGGGTTGCAGTGTGCCCAGGAGGGGTCAGCCATGTCCCACCCAGGAAATTGTCATCGCCAAAGAACAGACGGATCAGAGCCCGTGCCTTGATACCTGGATGCAGTGTCCTTTCCAAAGAATGTTAGAAGAGGCACCCTCTCTGTGCCCTAGAGTCACACCCAACACATTTGGGGATCATCTATCCGCTGGGGGTCTGGCAGGAAGAGGAGCTCCAGGGATAACCACTGGGGTCTTTGCCTCAAGCTTTAAATTGAGGCAAGAGGGTCGACAGCACCTGGGAAGCGGGCAGCCAACACCTTTGGCTGAACAACAGTTAGCACCAGATTCACAGATGATGATGAATGGATGGACTTCAACTCTAGAAGCTCCAAAGGTGGCTCTTTGGCATCATCTGTCCTCCTGAGTTCTATTATTAGGCACACTCTCCAGTATGCTGACCTAGGCTGCTCTCATGGTTCACTGTCAGGAGGCACCCCCCACGCCAGCTCAGGCAGCAGAGGGGGAACAGAATAGGGTGGGTCCCTTGTCCCAACATGTGAGTGAGGGGAGCAACCAGGACGGGGTGGATGGGGGATAAATAAAGTGTGAATCACCTTAAGATGGGCTTGTAAGCAGCCACTTACAATCACGTTTTGGACAACTACTTGATGACAAAGAAAAGTTTATGAGATTGTTTCCCTCATCACACACATAGTCACGTGATGAGTGGTGAACATACCAACCTGTTACACACTGTCATTTCTGAGCAGTGCCTTTAACAACGATATTCTTTTTCATGCTCTTCTTTGTTTTCTGACGTGCTTTACAACCACCACATGTTCCTGACATAAGAATGAATGTAACGAGAATGTAACACCTAAAATGAACATGACCTTAGGAGACAGACAAATCTGGGTCTAAACGCCAGCTCCACAATGAGCCAGACAGATGATCTTGGAGATAACCAGCCCCCCCGAGCCTTACTCTCCTCACCTGTAAAATGTGGCGGGTGAAAGGAGATTGTCACACAAAGTTCCTAATTCCGGCTGTCAGCTGTTGTTTATTTTATTCTATTTGTCCAGCTGTTCTTTAAACGGCAGGCACTCTGCTCCTCATGGAAGTGTCCTCTGCCCCAGGAGAGGCCCCGCCCGGACACACAGCCTGTGGAGAGGGAGACTTGTCTCCAGTTCCTCTCTGCTGAGGCTGGAGCTGGAGAGGAGGGTTGCACCAGGAACCCAAAACTTGTGAAACTCCTGTTGCTTGCTTCCTCATTTAAAAGAGCAGTTGCTCCCATCTGAGGAAGAAGTTGCAGCAAGGGGCTCTTGGGGCAGAAAGAGGCGGCTGTGCACACAGCTGTGCTTCTCTCTCTCTGGATCCAAGTGTTTCCTGCACTTGCTGAGGAATCCAGACATCTTTTTTCTTTTTTCAAGTTTTTAACACAATTTTTTATCGTTTTCAATCCAATGAAACTTTTCTAAAAACATGGTAATTCTGATTTAAATTCAATGTATTTAAATGCACCACAATGATTTTTCAATATCCCATTCTATTTCTGAGACTAAAACTCAAGGAAAATATATTGATCTTGTCTACACCTTTAAGATTACGGCAATTTTCCAGACATCTTTTTTTAGTATCAGCTCTATGGAGACATATTCACATACAAGTCACCCATTTAAAGTGTATTCAATTCAATGGTTTTTAGTATATTCAGAATTGTACAATCGCTATCAATTTTAGAAAATTTTCATCACCCTGAAAAGAACCCCTTACCCGTTAGCACTCACTACCACCTTGCCCAGCTCTAGGCAATCACTAATCTACTTTCTGTTTCTAGAGAGTTTCCTCATCTGGACATTTCATATAAATGGAGTCACACTGTATGCAGTCTCTAGCGACTGGCTTCTTTCACTTAGCATAATCTTTTCAAGGTTCATCCACATCGTAGTGTGTATCAATACCTCATTCCTTTTTATTGCCAAATAATATTCCATTGTATAAATATACTACATTTGATTTATCCATTCATCAGTTGATGGGCGTTAGGCATCCTTTTTGACTTAATATGTTAACTGCAATCATACCTATCATGTGTTGAGTACCTACTATGTGCTAGGCACTTGATCTAATTTCTAATCCTTGCAACAGTCCAGAGGGCAGGCCTATTTCTCCCTTTATACTGATAAAGAAACTGAGATGTAGAGGTGAAGTGGCCCATCCAAGGTCACACTAGTGACAGAGCCGGGATGAAAAAGGGGTTGAACTGGCCCCCCAGTCCATGTTCTTCCCACTGCCCCATCCCACCCCCATGTGCTCTGCTCTCTCCTTCCAGTTGGCACTGAGGCCAGAACAAGAAAGAATTCACTCATTCAGTGATCATTCATTCAACGAGCCCTAACCAGCACCACATGGACAGCAAGCACGCATTAGTCACTGAGCCAGGTAAGACCCATATGCCACCTCCTGGAGGTTACTGTCCAGGTGAGGAATGGTCGTCATGCAAGGAGGCAGTACCAGTCACCAAGAAGGATGTGACCAAGTGCCGAGAACTCAGAGCTGTTGGAGAGTCCAAGGAAAGATTTTGAGAGAAGATGGCATTTTGAACAGGACCCCAGTAGACCAGGCAGATTTCCCTGGCAGAGATGGGACGAGCCACCACGCAGAGGAACTGGTGTGCTCACAGACACCCAGACCAGGAACCTTGGTCCACAAGAATGAATTCTGTCCTCCTGGAGGTGGGAGGTGAAGAGGGTGGGGAAGGTAGGGGAGTGGTTGGAATCACATTGCTGAGAGCCATGAATGCCAGGCTGCACTCTGAGCTTTGCCCCATAGACAGCAGGAAGCCATGGAAAGTTTTGGAGCAAGACAAGATGAAAGCCGTTCATGAGCACTCTGATGTCTTTCTTCAGACCCATGTCCCCAGGCCCATGGAAATTACCCTTGCAGCAGTTCACAGAAGAGCTGTGTTTCAGCCCTTTGTGTATCTCTGTATCCCCAACACCTAGGACAGTGCCTGATGCATTGCAGAGGCTCCATAAACATTTGTTGATTGACAGACTGATTGGATGAATGAATCTGCCTGTCAGCCCCCTCCCCCTCACTGTCCTCTCCTGGCCCCTCTCCGGGCTAAGTGGAAGAAAACACCTGGTGTATTCCAGATTGTCTCATCTCACCCACCTACCATCTCTCTCCCTCCAGGTCCCTCCCCTTCTCCCTCCCTGCTACCCCTTTCCTTTCTGGTCATGAGTAAATGAAGGAACAAATGTGCACGTGCTCCCACCACAGGCTAGGCAGTAGCAATTACTTTAAATTCTCACTGTCGCCCTCAGGGATAGAAATGATTCACTGCCTTTTGCATGCGAGGAAGTTGTGATCCAGAATGGTTAAGGGACTTGCCCAGCTGCTGGGTGGCAGGATTAAGACTCACCCGGGGCCCTTCTTATTCCATCTAGAGCTTCCAGCTGGGGGTCTGGAGTATTGTGGTGGGGGTGGGATGGGTGCAGAGGGAGAGGAGGCAAACCAAGGGACTCCTGGGAGGCGCTGAGGGTGCAGGGGTGGAGGGGCTTCTCAAGCCCATCCTAGAACCAGGTAGCTGGATACCAGTCTGAAGTCTCCTACCCCACTCTGAGTCCAGCTGCCACATCAGGATGCTGAAGCCAGATTCCTTGACTCCACTCCTGTGTCCACTCCCCAGGAAGCTGGGGCATGGGGCAGGAACACACACACACACAACATCCCCAAAGCTGAAGTGGTGAAACAGTAATTGCCTTAAGCAGAAAGACTTTATTGTTCTACAAAATTCTTCTCCCGAGAACATTTTTATATAATTCCCAAAGTCAATCATCATCTCCCTTCGTGTTGAGGAAAACATCCCTAAGAGGCTTTGTCAGAAATCCTTCAGTCGAGCAGGCCAGCTGGTGCCCAAGGCTCTCTGGGTGGCCTGATTCTCTGCCACTCCTCTTAAAACCTTCTAGAATGTTAGCTTCAGAAAGAACCTCCAATTCCAGAATCCTCTCATTTTACAGATGGGAAAACTGATGCTCAGCCCAGAGAAGGGTCTGCTCAAGGGCCTCCAGCATCAGTGGCAAAGCCGATCGCAGGCTCAGGGCCACCCACCCCCCCACACCCCGTCTCTCCTCATTCCCCCAAGGCTCTCTAAACAAGCCTTTGTCACTGCCACTCTCTAACCAAGGCTGTGCCTTTGAGGGAGAGCTGCGCACCACCTCCAAATGCCAGGGGGCATAGCTGAGGCCATGACAACCTCACCCTCCACCTGGAAATTTACCTGGCAGTACAGGGCCCAGGCACACATGGGCTTCAGGGCCAAGGAGGCCTAGAGAAGCAGGTGACACACTTCCTCTCCCATCACATCACCTCCCTTTGGGTCAAGGATCTGCCAAGCCCGTGTGCTTCCTGCTCTGGGACTAAGGAGAACTTCCACAAGCTTTTGCTTTGGGTCTGTATGGTATCAATCAGCTTGGCACTGAAATTCTTTTCCTGCCTATCAGAAGTCTAAGCTAGGAGTTAGGTGTCTTCTTTTTCTTTTAATAAAAAGTAATGTCTGCTTAATACAAGTAGCCTGAGTGAACACAGACTTTCTGGATACGGGGTCCTCAAAGGTAGGGGAAGATTAGCAAAAGCATCCGCAGAGCGGAAAAGGGAGGACTTCCAACCTAAGCGATTGCAGGGAGGCCTTCCTTCCACTGGCACTCTCGCCACACCAGGAAGGGGTGCATGAATGTCAGAAGAGTGACGAGCACCAGCATCACGTTCACTTGGAGGAGGACAGGAAGGAGGGAGGTGAAGTCCGGGAACTCTGAGCAATGTCCACGACCAATGAGGGGACCAGAATTCCGCCTAGTTTATCTTCCACTTTCCACTCAGACACTCTGGTGCCCTGGAGGAAGGACTCTGCGTTACTTTTCATTCCGACCTGTGGAGCCAGCTGGGGAGGGATATTGTGCCCATTTAATGGATGAAGAAAGAGAGGCCCAGGCAGTATTCAGTGACCAGCTCAGGGTCACACAGGAAGTTGACGGAGGGAACAGAGCTACATCATATCTTCTGAATCTTCAGTTAGGGTGCTCCGATATCACAGCCAAGTAATGCTCCTCAATCTTTCAGTTAGGGTTTTTTTTTTTTTCCTCCCAATGACTGATTTGAATTCCTGTTCTACACTTTGCTGATCTTTTCAAAATGAGGCTAAAGGGCTGTGCAGTGATCAGAACACTGAATTCAAAGTCAAAGGACTTCTGCTCCTTTGCTGTGGGCTTCTGAACATAGAAGTCACACAACCCAAATCTTTGAGCCTCTGTTTCTTCTAGCTCAAACAGCTGGAGAGTCACACCCACCTCCCAGGGCTGGGCGGGTGAGCATCCCTGGGATGTCGGGATGCAGGGGTGAGAGCACAGCGTTTCTGCCTCTCATGTCAGCTGTGGAATCCAATGCACGTTGCATCCCTAGGGCCGAGACCAAGGTCCACCTGTGCTCATCGCAAGCAGGAAATATCTTTCAAATCCTAGGTTTTCATGAATCGTTGTGAGGATTTTGCGCTCTCCTCCAGAGTATGATTACTTGTCTCCACACACATAAAAAAATATTTTCTCCCCAAATCTCTGAAGAACGTGGGCCCCCTGGGCAGCCACCCCATGATAGCCCTGTGGTGTCAGGTACCCACAGCACAAGGCAGGGTGCTTCCACTGACCCCAGTGTGAGAAGCAAGACCAAGGATGTACCTGTGTGCAGCAGTGTTCCTGCAGGAAATAGCTCAGCCAGATTTGGGGCGCCGCCTGCTGGGTTCCCATTGAGTCACCCCGATCTGGATGCCCTTGGTGGTCTGAGGCCCACAATACTCACATAGAACGGTTGGTTCTGGAGGGGGCCCTTGATGAATGTGAAGATGGGGAACTGGAGCAGAGACACAATGGCTGACAAGGCCATCACTAGCCCGAAGATCTTCCCAAAGTTTTCCGGAGGGAAACTGGGAGAGAGATAAATGGGGTTCCAGTGACACTCATGGACCCTCCCTCCAAGCAGGACCTGATTGGGGTGGGCCTTTGTCAGGTACTTGCTCACAACTCCCCTGTTCTCAACCTGCCTTCACCCACCCACACCACAGAGCCCTCTCCCCTTTGCCTTGGGTCAGGCTTTCAAGCCACAGAACACAGAGAAGTTGTTGTGCTTGACAGTGGGAAAACAGCAGGGATCCAGACACTCACTGCACCCCAGGGAAGTTGCAAGAAAAAGATGAACACAAAAACACATCACTATATGCCAGATGATGTGTGCACCATCAAAGGCAGCAAAAATACAGTGCCCAGGGCACAAATAAGGGAAGACACTTTCTTTCCAACTCTTCCCTGGGAATGTTGGCACAGAAGTGGGCCTCGGAGGGTGAATAAGCACTCACCAGGTAGGTAACAGAGGCAGAGGGAGAGCTGATACGAAAAATCAAGCACATGAAAGCTCTACTCCTCCTGCCAGCCTCACCTCCAGGCACCACCCCCTACACCTGCTCCCATACTCCGTCTCCATCACCTGACGATCTCAGGCCCATCCTCACCTCCCAATTTCTGTACCTCAGGCACGCTTCCCTTTGCCCCATGTGTCCCCCATTATGTAACGCACCCCAAGCCCACTTACGCAAGGGTCAGGAGCCAGCATTGCTCCCATAGAGGAAGGAGCGGCTGATCACTTGCAGGATGAAGGTGACGTACTGGAGGGGGAGGACAGGGACTGAGGCACAGAGGGCGAAGCCCAGGCACAGCAGAGACGTCAGCGCCAGAGAAGGAACCGTGGAGCAAAGGGCCACCGCTAAGGCTGAGAAACCTGGTCCAAAAAGGAAGAGGAGAGGCTGCCTGCAAGCGGGCACAATGGAGGGCAGGAAGGAGGCAAGAGAGATCTGGGTAAAGGGAGGAACCACCATCCATCTAACTTTCCAGGCAGAAACCCAGGGGGTCATCCTCGAATCCTCTTTCTCCCACATGCCCCATCTCCAGTCCATCAATGAATGTTGATGATCCACCTCCTAATTATCATTCAAATGCATCCACTCTTCTCCATCCCCACCAACTCTTCCTAGTTTTAAACCACCATCACTCACTCACAGATTACACAGTTGCAATGGCCTCCTAACAGGGCCACCTGCTCTGGCCCCTGCAACCTGTAGCCAGGCATTCTGTCTAGCATGACAGGTACTAACAAAAGACAGGGGCGATCCAAACAGCCATCCAGAGGGACAGCTGTCTTGGCTGTACTGCAGCCCCGTCACGGATAACTAGGCAGCGTGAGAGGAGTGAGGAGAAGGCCCTGCTGGGGAGCATCCTCGGGACAGAGAGTCACACAGAAGGAAGACCGCAGAACAGGGCGTGCAGTATGTGGCCTTTATCTGAGAGCGAAATTATGTCTATATAGTCTGTCTTTAAGAAAAAGATCATTGCCTAAAGACAGAGGGAACGAATAGGGTGCAGGGAACAGAGAGGAAAACTAAACTTCTTGGAATGTATACTGTTTCATGGTTTGGGCTTTGGGAAAATGTAAATGTTTGATATACAAATGCTTAAAAATTAAATTAAAATAATAGGAAGAGAAGAAGCAAAGCAGCTCTCCAAAATCAGGAACAAGATGAAACCAATGAACACAACTTTATGTCAAGTTGGTGATTCTTAAAACAGTGATATGACTGTGCATCCTCTTGTGGGACGTACGCTAAGGAGGAGAATGGAAGGAAGCATGAAAGGACAGAGAGAGAGAGGAACAGCATTCAGCAACAGTATTGTTATTCATAGTATCGATATTGCTAAAACCAGTGATAATATATAAAACATATTTTTTAAATACTATACAACTGTGTGTCTGTATAGTATTGTTAAGAACCAACATTTCCAGAGAAAGACAAAAAGAGATACGAATGTAAAATTAAGGAAGTAAAATTTGAATTAAAGTGTCATTATTAGGCATTCATGACGTATTTTTTCTTCCAAAAACTTATGTGTGATTTAACTCTATCCAAAGCCCAAAAGCAATGACAAGTCAGGAGAATTAGAAATGACAGCATCCCGACTACAGTCTTTAAATACCATGTCCCATTAAAGGGACCCAGCGTTACTTGGAGAAATGGCTGGTTTCAGGTCTGGGATACGAAACACACCCCATGAGATGGACGTGAACATCTCATTGTGCTCGAAAGTAAAGACACTCTCTAAAACGAATAGGATTATGTCTAAAGGACACAGATACTGGATTGGTAAAGTTCGCAAAGGCCAAAGATGTGGCAGTTTGAACATCAAAAGGAATCGTGGTGAAAATAGATTGAAACACATCAAGTATATTTAAAATGAGACTTTGAAAGAGAAGCAATGAGGAGTCACCCCTGGAGGTTGCTAGGGCATCAATTCATTATTCTTAAAACTGGTAAAAAGAAGAAAAACCAAGCATTTATGCCAGGGTAACAAAATAGTTAATAAGGGGAAGTTTTTCTTTCTAAAGGAATTCTCGCTGTTGAAAGCAGAGGGAAAGATGGAAATAGGAAATCACCATTTTGCAGCCCTGATAAAATAATGGGTCGAGGCATTGATCATCAATGGCTGCTACAATCATCAGGCACACAGTCGATGGGAAACTTTATAATAAGTGGATGAGACTGACAATGTCTGAGCCCATTGACCAATCTTAACATGATAAGAACAGGACAATAGGTACCAGGGGCCTGCTGACAGGAGCCCTTAGGAAGCCCACAGCTCCACCTCTGAATTATTCTTGCCAAAATTATTAAACTGAGTCTCCTTGAACTTCCAACCTGTGTGTTTACAGGAAATAGCCAAAGAAACATTTCAAATGACACCAAAAGGATGCCAAATCCAAAATGTGGGAAATGTGACAGAACAAACCACCCCATTTCTTCAACAAATAAACAAGGACAAAAAGCATGTGGGAGACGACGCTTATACGTTTAAAAAGACTTAAAAGGCACATCAACCAAATACCCTGTGTGGCTCTTAATTTGAACAAATGAACTGTAAAAAGACATATTTGAGACAATTAGGGAAATTTGAGCAGACTGCATAGTACATGATATTAAGAAATCATTGAGGGTTTTTTGTAGATGTGATAATGATACTATGGTGATATTTAAGTAAAAGAGGGCTTATCTGTTAGAGCTACAACCTGAAGTATTTACAGATGAAATGGTTTGATGACTGAGATTTGCTGTAGAATACTCCAGCAGGGTAGGAGAAGCAGGGCAGGGGAGTCAGGGAGGGGTGTAGATGAAAGTCATAGGAGAAATGTTACTCTCTACTTTTGTCCCTCCCCATCCCCAAGCCCTGCAGGTTAAAATACCTCAGCACCCCTCTGTTCCTCGACTGATGTCCAAGGAGCTTGTGAAATCTTCTTGGCATGAGACACAGCCTGCCCCTTCTCACGGCTCTCTCTCCAGACCCTTCCATACTCCTTTGTACCCTGGCCAGCCTGAATTACCTTTTTTTATTTTTGCTGAGGAAGATTTGCCCTGAGCTAACATCAGTGCCAATCTTGCTCTATTTTGTATGTGGGTTGCCACCGCAGCATGGCTGATGAGTGGTGTAGGTCTGCACCTGGGATCCTAACCCACGAACCTGGGCCACCAGAGCAGAGAGTGCTGAACTTAACCACTACACCACCGGCCAGTCCTTGAATCACTTGAAGGGATTCCTCGGATTCCTCAAGGTTTCCCTCTCTCCTTCACAACCTTGAGCCCACCGTATTCTTGGGCCACTCTCCCGGGGCCCTCCTCTTCATCTCCTCACTTCTGACTCATCCTTCAGGTTTAAGCTTAGATGACACTTTCTCCAGGAAGCCTTCCCATACACCGATCTCATCCTCATCTGGAACAGGCTGTGTGCCCTTATTGTGTCCCCACAGCCCCCTGTGGGTTTCCTTCCTGGATTGTAATGCCTAATGACATGCCTTTCTCCACTCTCTAGACTGAGAACAAGGACATATCTGTCTTGTCCATTGTTGAATCTGATCTATGTCTGGCCCATAATTGGCACTCAGCGACTAGTGGTTAGACAGACAGATGGATAGATGGATGGAGGAATGGAGGGATAGACAGATGGATTCAAGTAGAAAAAGATTAAGAACAAAAGAGAAGATGGGCAGACAGGCAAATGAAGATCTCTCCTCTCCTGGTTCCCTCATGCTCCCGAGTCCAGGTCTCACCTGTCTTGCTCGCTTTCTTCTCGTACCTCTGTTTAAGCTGGTCCGTGAGCAGGCCATTCCAGGGGGCACAGAGCACTCCGAAGAACTGAGTGATGGCAAAGGCATTTGTGTAGATGCTGACTGCAGAGGGCAGAGAAGGGTTGAGAGATAAGAAATTTCCAGGACGGCCTTACAGGAGGGGACCCTCCCACCCTGCCCTGCCTGACCATCCTCCCCACATCCCTGCTCACACCTTTCTCTGGAGCACATAGCCCTACTGGGCTTAGCACCCGACACCGCTCAAGGTTCCAAGTCCCCAACTGGGATGCACAGATGGGATGCCTCCCAGCCCCGCCACATACCTAGTGCCCTTGGCTAAGGTGGTGAGCAGAGAGTTGAGGGTGCCGATAAAGATGTAATGTCACAATTGTATCATGGACAGCCACATCAGGTGCCAGGCAAAGCACCGAGAGAAAGTGTAGCTCCAGAAAGAGCGGAGCTCCTTCTGCTGCCCTGGATCTGGGATCTCTGACGGAGAAAGGAGGATCTGGGCATTAATTAGGAGGAAAGTGGAGGACAAGGGTGAACAACAGTCTCGAGGCCTTAATGGAACACTCTGAGGTCCACGTTCACCTTCTATTCTTACCTCCCAGAACTCATCCGGCGTGCTCTCCGAGCTGCCCACAAGTGGCACATGCTCACCTCTACGCCTTGGTCATCCTGCCCTATCACCTTGAATGACCCTCCCCATGTTCTTCTCATCGACTGAAATCTGGTCTGTCTTTCACAGTTTGATTTCACCGACACTTCCTGCACTAACACTTTCCTGATCTTTCTCACTCAGGATGGTGAAAAAAAGACAAGGAGAGGGGAAAGTTAGACATGAGATGAGGGTTAGGGGCTGACAGCTGTTGTCTCAGCTGCTCTGCATCCCCTCTCTTTCGGTACCAGGATCCTGGTTTCTTCTGGAAATCTTCCCCTGCCCTTTTCATCATGGTCCAGATGGGCCTGTGAATTCAGTGTTCTGTTCCTCACCCAAGGTGGCCCAATCTGATCATTCTCCCTAGAGAGTGGCTGTGACTTTCGACTGGGGCCCCCAGGCGTATCCTGGTCCTGCTCATCCTGGAGCCCGGAAAGTTCATTTTTCCCTTGATTCTGTGAGCTTCCCAGAATCCTGTTCTTGTTTCTACCTCAGCCAGCAGTGGTTTGTGATGTTTGTAACCAAAGACCCAAAAGAGATAAGGAAGCAACAGAGGCGGTGATGGAAATGGAACAGTGAGAGGGCAGACCCAGGAGACCTGCAGAAATGGAGACAAATAAGGCAGACGTAGGACTGAAGAGTCGGGGGACAGGAAGGAAAATGATGGAAGATGGAATTCAGAGGGTAGTGTGATAATGACATGAGAGAAAGAAGAGAGGGACAGAAAGGAGAAAAGAAACAAAAGTCTTGCCCCTGTCTGGACCCTCTATAATGTGAGGGGGGTTGAGAAGACCCCACAGGTCCTTTCTCCACCTGACCTTTCCTGATTGAGTCTCTAGGGGAGCTCTGGAGGTGAGGGACCAGGTCGGCCGCCACGAAGACCAGGTTCTGAAGGGAACTGGGTTCACCAGCAGGGCTCACCTTCCTTTGGCGAAACGAACTCCAACTGTCCCTCCAGCTCTTTGGACTCCACTGTCTTCTGCTCCTCCTTCCTGCTGTCCCTCCCAGAGCACAGGCTGTGGAAACAGAAGTCCCCTCAGCCCAACCCAAGGGTTGTGAGCAGAGCCTGAGTCTCAGGCTGGAGGGAATAGTGCAGGGGATCCCCCGTTTCACAGCACAGTGAAATCACCTCTTAACAACCCCGAAGCCCAAGTCACAGCCAGACCAGTTAAATCAGAGTGTCTGGGAGTGGCAGCCAGGCTTCCACACTTTTTGAAGATCTCCAAGTGATTCTGTGATTCTGATACCCAGCAAAGTTTGGGAACCACTGGAGGCGTGGGCAGAGTAGGAGAGGCTGAGTTCACATCCCAGCTCTTGTTCTTCCTGGCTGTGGCAACACGGCTCAGACATAACCCTTCCGACACCCATTTTTTGCATTTTGAAAATGGAGCTAAGGGTATCTATCTGAGAGCATCATGCTGAGATGAAATTAGAGAGCAGTTGGGATCTGGCAGATAGCAAGTCAGCAGCAAATGAAAGCTCTCCCTCTACTGCTTGTGGGGAAGAGCTGCAAAAAGGGTCACATTTCTTCACTTCCTCTGTTCTCCAAGCTTCGCAATGGAATTTTGTAGCTCTGACTGTTTCCCCATCCCCTGCATCTGCACCAGGCCTTGTGAGCTGCCTCAGCCAAGAAAACACAGCAGAGATGATGCTGTGCCAATTCCAGCCCTGAACATTAAGAAAGCTTGTGCATTTCTGCACTCTCTCTCTTGGAACCCTGGAACCACCACATGGACAAGCCCAAACCAGCCTGCCAGAGGATGAGAGCCAGGTGTCCCAGACATCCCTGTTACCCCCAATGACCTCCAGAAAAAACTCGTGTGAGTGAGGTCATCCTAGACAAGCCAGCCCCGAGCTTGCCCACTAGATGATCAGAGGCAAGAATGAGCCCTGTCAAGATCATCTGAGTCTGTCCCTGAGCAGTAGAACTCGTCAGCTACCCGCAGACCCAGGAAAAATAATAAATGCTTAAGGTTTCAGGACACTGAGTTCTGGGGTGTCTGTTATGCAGCAATTGCCAACTGACACACCCATTCTGGTCTTCCTCTCCTGTGACAGGTTTCCTCTGCCCTACTGTGACCACGACTTTCCCATCCCCTGCTTCCGTCCCAGGTCACATGGGGGGCTCTGGCTCACAATTGTTAGATCATAGTCCTTACCCATAGCAGCCCAGTGCAATGGTGGTTAAGTTCACATGCTCTGCTTTGGCAGCCTGGGGTTCGTGGGTTCAGATCCCAGGTGTGGACCTGCACAGTGCTCATCAAGCCATGTTGTTGTGGCATCCCACATACAAAATAGAGGAAGACTGGCATAGATGGTAGCTCAGGGACACTCTTCCTTAAGCAAAAAGAGGAAGATTGGCAACAGACGTTAGCTCAGGGCCAATCTTCCTCACCAAAAGAAAAAGGTAAGGAAATTCTGACACATGCTATAACTTGGATGAACCTTGAGGACATCATGCTAAGTGAAATAAGCCAGTTATAGAAGGATAACTATTATGTGATTCCTTTTGGATGAGGTCCCTAGAGAAGCCAAATTCACAGAGACAAAAAGTAGAAGGGTGGTTGCCAGGAGCTGGGTGGGGTGGGATACTGGAGAGTTAGTGTTTAATGGGGACAGAGTTTCAGTTACACGAGATTGAAAAGAGTTCAGTCTGGAGATGGATGGTGGTGTTGCTTGCCTAACAATATGATGAACTTAAGGCTGCTGAGCCATACGCTTCACAATGGTTAAGATGGTAAATTTTATTCTATATATTTTACCACACCAAAGAAAAGTCCGGGTAAGAAGCAGCAGCTGGAACCCCAGTTTCTAAGAATGAGTCTTGGTACAGGCTGTTGCCTTCCACCCTGGAAGCTAATTAATTACACCTCGTACACACATAGCCTCCCTGTCACCCCAGGGCCCAACCAGCAGCAGAGGAGGCAGCGTATTATCCATCCCCACAGCCTTATAGAGCCTCCTAGTGAAGTTTCTCAGAGATCTTCCACCCTGGTGCTTTTTTTTTTTTTTACTGGCAGCAAAGTCCTTTTGTTCAAACAAAATTTTACACAGAAATTCCACGTATGAAACACATCAGTGGGGAGTGGCCCTGTCATCCTCCCCCTTATTCTCCTTGGTGACCAACATAACATCAAAGGGAACCCCTCGGTGTTCCTCGACACCCAGTTTGAAAACTATTGATCTAGCCCAACCTCCTCACTTTACAGAGGGTGAAACTGAGGTCCAGAGAGGCACAAGGAATTGCTTAAGATCAAAGTAAGCAGCAGCAAGGTCAGAGTAAACGGAGATCTCCAGCTCCTGCTCTGGCACGCTCTCTCTCCTTCCAACTCCAAAGAGGGAAGAGAGAAAGGGAAGCACATCCAGGGGAAGGAGGAAGAACCGGGAAAGTGGTTCTTGTATGAGTGGTAGAAAGGCTTGAGTAGGTGCCCCAAGGCTCAGCCTGTGGGCGACCCTCCAAGCCCAGGTGCTCACAGTACTAAGCTAGTTTCATATCTGGATAGCGACTCCCAGAGATCCTCTTCTCTTGCCCCTGGCCCACAGGCTGTGCCAGCTGCCTCTGGCCTAACACAAAGCCCAGAGGGAAGTCCCAAGTTGGTCAGCTTGGGGTGTCAAGGACTCACATTCTTTTATTCCTTTCACTCATTCATCCTTAGTTTGCTGGCTTTTGTCCTCCAGCTTGTTGCCTCATAATCACAGAATGGCTGTCACAGCTCCAGCTATATTCAAACATTCAAACAGTTGCCACAACATTCAAAGGGGAAGGGTGGAAAGGGGGACCAGGGAGGAAGGCTTTCTTTTCGCTCTGCTTTCATCTTCCAACAAGGAGAGAAATATCCCTAAATTCCTCGTGAATACAACCCCTTCACCTCACTAACAAGGACTGGAGAATATGCCCACCTCTACTCTCATTAGCAAGGAGGAAAGGGACTGCCTCAGTTGGCTGAGATCAATCAGGATTCATCCCCTGGGCTGGAAACACCACTGCCCAGATGAAATGTTAGCAATGAAGAAGGGAGAATGGCTGTTAGGTGGGCTACTAACAGCACTGGCAACAGCCCATCCCCTGATCACTAACCTCAGCCTTTAGGAGAGCTGGAGAGGACTCTGTGTCTGCCCCTGCTGCCCCCATGAGCCACCCCCCACCTCCCTGTCCAACCCAGAAGCTCACAGGCACAAACACCCCACTGCAAAGGGCCCCAAGCCTCTGCCCAACGCTGGCCCGGGCACATCATGGCCGTGCCTTCCCTTAGCCTCCGTGCAAAAATCCTACAGGAGTGTGAAAAAGGAGTTTAATGGTTACAAGCTCAGCCTCTAGAACCAGACAGGCCTGGGCCTCAAGTTCAAGTGTCATGTTTTCTAGCTGCAGAAGCGTTGATGGAAAGAAATCATGTAAAGTTCACAAGACAAGTGTCTGGCATATATTAATGCTCAATAAATGTTGGCTATTACTATTTTTTACGTTTTTGTTTTTGTTTTTTAGGATTGGCACCTGGACTAACATCTGTTGCCAATTTTCTTTTTTTTCCCCTTCTACTTCTCCCCATAGCCCCCCAGTACATAGCTGTATATTCTAGTTGTGAGTGCTTCTGGTTGTGCTATGTGGGACACCGCCTCAGCATGTCCTGATGAGCGGTGCCATGTCCACTTTCAGCATACAAACCAGCGAAACCCTGGGTCGCCCAAGCAGGGCATGCAAACCTAACCACTCGGCCAATGGGCTGGCCCCGCTGTTTGTGACTTAATGACAAGGAAGACTGCAGAGGAAGAGTCAGACGCTCCATTGTAGAGAGTGATGAAGGTTGAGCGGTGTTTGCCAAACAGGTTTCCCACCTGGAGAGAGTGTGACCAACCCGAATCACTTATTTATTCATGAAATAAATATTTCCTGTGCAGCCAGCATGTTCCAGGCCTTCATGATACCCAGACTCACCCTCCACCCCAGGAGCTACCACCCTGGCCTGGGCCAACCCCATTTAAGGTAGCCAATGTAGAAAAGTGCTTCTCCCTCCTTCCACCCTCTCCACCCTCCTGCCAGGCGCCTGGGATGAGGGCAGGCTCACACCTACAGGTTGGTGATCAGAAACAGGATTCCCCCGACGGTGAGCATGGGCTTGGCCAGGAAGAGCAGCAGGGCTGATTCTGGAACAATCAAACCAGAGGTGGGGCAGTATCATACTGCAACCCAAACATGGAACCCCAAACTCTGGCTCCCACTTGCTCCAAATTTCGAACAATCCCGGGGTCAGGGCCCTAATTCTAGCATCCTTCGAGGTCGTAGGGTACTGGTCAAGGCTCCCCCAAATGTCCTTGCAGAGGTCTCCTGAGCCACCTTCTTCCCCACCAAAGATGGTCCTTGGTCTGTTGCAGACCTGGATGTCTCCAGATAGATTCGAAGTGAAGTCACTGCTCCCTTCTCTCATTCAACCACAAACAGCCCCTTCTATTCATCCTTGACACTGTGGGGAGAGATGTCTGGACTCCGTCCCTAAGCCCAGCTTCTTATTCACTGCATGACTTTGAGCTGGATTCCGAATCTGTGACTCAGTCACCCTATCTGTGAAATGGGAATAACAGTCCCTGCTCTCCATGCCTTATGGGATGTATGAGTGAGAAAATGGGACAGACTCTTTCCTTTGTTCATCAAACTTGAGCACTTCCTTCATGGGGCATTGTGCTTGGCATTGGAAATGAAGGATGGGTTAAGCATACTTCCTACCCTTGAACAGACTGACCTGCAAACAAACTACTACGATAACAGAACTAAAATGCCAGGAGTGTGGAGCCCTTACTAAACTACAGACTTCTGCCCACTTTCCTGATTTTGGCCATAATCCATGCCCATCCTATTATTTGCCAAAATGTTTTCTTTACGTTGACTCCCTTATATCCAAAAGAAATCTATTGTTTTTAAGGGAAACTTTGTATCACTACTGCAAATGAAAAGCAACTCATGTTGCTTGTCAAGAATAGAAAGGAACTGTAAAAACAAATACAATGAAAGGAAAACAATGTTATTAAATTGTAACTAGATGCAGTTGCCCTCAGAACGCTCCGAGCTTGAAACCTGCTCCTGCCATAGTGTTAAATTCATACCGGCCCCGTGTCAAGACTTTCGTTCATGAAATCAGAGGACTGAAAGAGAAATTAAAAAAGAATGATTTTTCCACCAGACGATTCAGTGCTTAACGCGGCATGATTGTGCCTCCTAATGTCCTCTGAAGTAGCTATTGTTCTATACCTTGAGAAGCACTGTAAAGTGCTAATTTTAGACTATTCACGCTATTTACCATTCAATTTCTGTCTTTATAAAATGTACCTCTCTCCTAATGTTGGGTGAGATTCCTTTCACAATTGGGTCATTGTGGCCCCAACACTTTTTCCAAAAACCAAAAGCCCCGTTTTATGGAGGAAGGGAGAACTGGTGATCAAATGATTCACAAATGTGAGTCAAACATACTTAGCCACCACCTCCACATTCAGCCACTTAAAAATCATTTACAGGCTTTTAGATGAGATAAAGCGGGTTTGATGAGGAGAGTGGTTTTAAATAACTGGCTTGAGGTGCCAGGCTATCTCATGAGATCAAAGACACTCAGCCCGTGTTTACGGAGCACAAATGGAGACGACCTCATGATGCCATATGGCTTCAGCAAAGGACTACACACACAACAGCTATGTACTTTTACTTCCTATCCCCAAAATTGAGCCACGCAATCTGACGCTGGGGAGAAATGTTAGAAGGCATCTTTTGGCCAGCATAACCAAGATTCTAGGAGAAGGCACGGCCGGGGACCCCAGGCCCACTTCCCACTAACTTGCTCTGTGGCCTGGGGCAAGTCTTTGCAAGGGGTCTCTCTCTAGCCTCAGTTTTCTCCTCTGCATACTGGGGGAAAGCAGGAATAACCCAGATTGGAATTCCTAGACTTTAGGAATTTTATACATTTATAGACCAGTAAAATTTCAAAGGAAAACTTTTGACTACCTAGGATTGTCAACTTTTACCCTGCTAAGTAAGGATATTTTCAAAAGCAACAGCCATTAATATTATAATTTCGTTGAAATAAGAGAGAGAGAACATGTTAATACATACAAGAGGAAAGATGTAATATTTGGAACAAATTCTTCTCTCTGAGGCAATCCCTTCATTGTGCTTATTTTTTGCATTTCTCACTAGGTAAAACTGTTTTCATAGACCAGTAATAACTCTCACAAGGATTCTTTCAAGCTCAAAGTCTGTGGCTTTCTGATAACCATGGGGGGGTCAGTGTGTCCTGTCCATCACCTTCGGCAACTGCCCCACCCAGCAGGTGCCCCTTGAGCTTGTGTCCCTCCCAACCCCTGACAGCACTCATCTGCAGAGGTGAAGGCTATGGTGAGCGTGGCAGTGGTGTAGAGAAATCTGAAACACAGAACAGGGGATGGAGGATGTTGTCAAGGAAAAGGAAACCTGGGGGACAAAACTGAGAATTCTACTCACCCAATCTCCAAATTTGGCACTAAAGTGCATTCTCAGCCTAGGGGTTCAATGGGCATGGATGCCTCTGGAGCCCCAGGCTCAGAACCAGGTACCGGAAGCCCGGATGTGATTGATATGTGGCCCTGAGCTACGAACTCAGCTAAGGATGCAATGAGTTCAGGAGAAGGTTATCTGGCTTGGCCAGAGACAAAGTGGGTGGAGCCAATGCCCTCCCACCTGGGAGTCCCAACAGGCCAAACCTTTGGAGAAAGGGGTTAGTGCCTGGTCTACAAATCAAAACCTTCAGTCCTAATTCCTACTCGCTGTGTGACCTTGCTTAAGACACTGCCCTTCTCTGGGCCTCAGTGGCCTTTTCTATAAAAGGAAATGATTGAACTGACCTAGAACCCAAGCTTAAAGTTGTAGGGTTCTGTGATTATAGAACCACAATCCAAAGGTTATGGGGATCTTCTAGCAGATGGGGGTTTTATAAGACATGGGGTAATAAAAGTTGTTGCCTAAGTGTGATACAGTGATTTATAATAAGAAATGTCTATTTGGTCCTTGTCCCTAGTCCCTATCACAGGACTTCTAAAATCCTTCAAATTCCTCAGTGATAAGAGCACTAGGAGCATCTTTTGTTCTAATGAGGTGACTCTGGGTGGGTTCCTGGATGGCTCTTGGAAGAGTTGGTCACCAGGAAGACCAAGCCATAATTAGAAGATTGGCATTTTCAGCCCCGCTCCCCAATTCCCTAGAGAGGGGAGAGGGGCTGTAAATGGAGTAATTAATCATGCCTACTTGAGGAAGCCTCCATAAAACCCCAATAATAGAGGCTTTGGAGAGCTTCCAGATTGGTGAAAACATCCACTACTAGGAGGGTGACACACCCCAACTTCCCAGGGAGAGAAGCTCCGGGGCTCAGGACCCTCCCAGACCTCGCCTACATATCTCTTCATCTGGCCATTCATCTGTATCCTTTATCACATCCTTTAATAAACTGGTAAACATAAGTAAGTTTCCCCCCGAGTTCTGGGAGCTGGTCTAGCAAACAATTGAACCCAAGGGGGAGGAGGTCATGGGAACCTCCGCTGTGTAGCCAAGTCAGACAGAAGTTGTGGGCAACCAGGGTACACACCACTTGCGACTGGTGTCTGAAGTGGGGCAGTCTCGTGGGACTAAGCCCTTACCTGTGGGATCTGACTCTATCTCCAGGAAGATGAGGTCAGAATTGACTTAAATTGTAGGTCACCCAGCTGTAGTCGCAGGATGGCTTGGTGTGGGAACACCACCCCACACACACACATTTGGGTGTGAAGTATCGTGCGTAAAAGTAAAGGAGAAACACAGGAAGACTGAGTTTTTCTTAACACATGGAGGCTGGAGAAGAGGCAGGGAGCACAGGGAGGAGAGAGAAGAGGAGGAGAGGAAGTCAAACACCAAGAGAGACGAGACAAAGTCATAACGTGCCAAGCACTTAAAGACCAAGGGACCTGGCTATTTCCTGGCCCAGCCGGCCCTCCAGTCCCTCTGACAACTGATCTCTCACAAGCATGCCAGGGGCTGCTTGCTTTGGGTTCTATCAGCTCCAAGCAGGGCACTGCTTATCACTGACCCAAGCCAGTTGGAGTGGCACCCTGGGTGAGCGAGAGCAAGTCCCTTGGCCTCTTTGACTCATCCGCATGGGAAACCACATTGCCTTCCCTCCAGACCCAGGGGTCCTGATATCCCCACCACTGCAGGTCCCAGGAAACCTCATTGGCTAAGTCTCTGGGGAGTGACGGTGGGGTGAGGAAGATGACATTTAAGTCTGAGCAACCTGGCCATGAGGCCTTGTAGGAGCTATACACAAGGGTCCCCAGGATGAAGGCAGAGTGACATTTTTAACTTTTGCTAATTTCATAACCCCGGGCCCCAGGCCAGCCCTCACAGAAAGCCTGTCATATAGAACAAACATTCACACCTAGCAGAGGAAGGAGGCAAGGAAAGGGAAGTAGGGGTGTGGGAAGAGAGCAGGTCTAGCCAACTTCACCCTCTGGGCTGTTTCTCACACATCTGCTGAGGCAGTGCCTTGCAGGGCTGCCCAGTTGCCTTGTCTGAGACTCCCTCCAAGAGAGGCTAATGTCAGAAGAATTCCTATTGCTCATCTCCACCCAAACTGGGCCTTTGGGACTTACATGGCTATGAGGCGGGCCACAGTGTTCTTGAAACGGTCAAAGATGTAGCCGGTGGGGAACGTCATGAAGTTGTTCATGAAGGACGCCAGGGTGAAGATGAGCGAGAACTTCTCATCCTGGGCTTTGAAGTCTGGAGGCCGGAAAGGGGGATCTCAGAAGCCAGAGTGGGTGGGCCAACCTCCCATCCAGCCCAGCCTTCCTGCCAGGTGGGCTCCCAGCCTGGCCCCCTCCAGAGCAGCCTCTCCGGTCTTGGACAGCTGGCTGGTGGAAAGTTCTCCCTTCAGTGAGTTGAAATGTGGCTGCCTCTAATTACCCCTCAGGAGCTAGTACTTCTCTCTCCAGGCACCTCCTAGACTGAGGTTGAGGGGTAGGGGACAGGGGAGGCTGACACCTCCTTTCTCTCATTGTAGAAAGGTTGGCAGGGTGGGCAGGAGATGAAGTCCTCCCTTCCCCTTCCCACCAAGTGAGAACCAGCCTCAGCCTCCTAGAGAAGTCATCACTCTCTTACCAGTCTGTCCCGTGGCATTGCCCGTCAGTGTGGTATTGCCCGTGAGCCAGGCATTTGGTTCACACAGCTCCTCAAAGTAATGCTCTGTCTTGATGACAAACACAAGCGACGCCCAGGCGACGAGGATGCCTACAAAGCCAAGACATTCCAGCAGCCCCCTCACTTCAGTGGAAATGAAGTTTGAAGATTCAGAAGGCCTCTCCCTTGGAGGGTCCTGATCTTCCTAGCACCACCTCCGAAACGTCCCACCTCCCATGCCTTATCATCTTTCATCCCCACTTCCACATCACCTCAGTTCCACATGGACACACAGCTGCCACCAGAAGCCAGGGGTTGGCCGAGAGCCAGGTACCAAATCTTCCAAACACTGCCATCAACCCAGTAAAAGCGCTGGCAGCAGCCCTAGACGAGAGAGGAAGGGAGAAGGTGGGCTGGAGCATGAGGCAAAGGGAAAGCAGGAGGTAGAGCTGGAACTGTCCCTGTCTGATCCTCCTGCTGCCTGCTGGGCATTTGACTTCTCTGCTGGACCATCATGGACACAGTCCTTGTCAACCCAAAATGTTGATCCACAGTGATCAGCACCATCACATTGTATGCATCCTCATGACACACTCATCCTTCTGACCCTAACAAGATGCGGGACAGGAGTTTCAACCCCATTCTAGAGATGAGGACCCCAGGCTCATAGTCTTGCCCAAGTCATACAGACAGTCAGAGGCTGAGCAGAACTTGAACCCAAACCTACTCATTTAAAGCCTTGGCTCTTCCTGACGCCTAGGTAGCCACCTTGCTCTCATGCCCAGGTGTCCAACTCTCCCCAATTATTCAGGGGATCAGAGAACAGAAGCACAAAGAAATCTGCAGCATGTTGAGCACTGGCTTGGGTCAGAAGGGGCTCCCCATTAAGATCTGGGACCCCTCTGACCCAGCCTGTGCTCATGCCTAAAATCCAGCCTTGACCCTGGCTGACACTTCTGGCTGAGCACTGGATGTGGTAGGTAAAGATGAGGTTATGGATGGAGACGAGTCTGCCCCAGTAGCACTTCTGCCAAGTATACTGCAAGGCACGATAAAAAAGGAAAAAGGGGATGCCCCTCCTCAGGAATACACATGATGTGAGCCCTGGATCTTGAAGTCTCCACAATTCATTCCCCCACTCCCCAACCCAATCACACAGCCATTTGAAGATGGGAGATCAAAACGTAACTTCTGTTTCCACTTTACCCTCACTTCTTACCCCCTCTTACCCACCTCTAACACTTCTGTGAGACTCAGCCCCTGCTGACACCCCCATGGTCCTCAGTGAGGAAAATAAACAGTGACTCAGAGGCTGGGGACATCCCCTCCCTGCCTTCCTCCACACCCCTGGACTCAGCCTCAGCCACAGGCCACTCACCTGAGCTTGACTAAACGTCATGGCTCTCGTCACCACAACAAAGCGGTAGCTCTTGCATCCAGGGATGCCCACCTGTTTGACACTATCCTCTTCCTTAGGACACTGAAAGCCTTTCTCCGCCTCTTCTAGGGCTGAGACTGATTTGACAGCCCCCTCTTCCTCAGGGGCATCTTCACATCCAGATCCTCACCCCTCCTCTTCCTCCAGCAGCGTCAGTCCCTCCATAGGAGCCTCCATTGTCCCGTGTTCTGGCATCTCCCCATCCTAAGGCAGGATCTCACCTCCAAAGGGGCCCTCAAAGTTGGACGTTTCAGTCCCTGGCAGAGAGAAAGTCCAACTGCACCCCCTCACATCTTTTCCCGTTCCTCTCTAGAACCATAGACAGTTCCCTCCTTGCCCTAGCCATCAGAATGCTCAGCCTTGGAAAGAGAGGAACCTAGAACTGAGCCTCCATGAGGACAACCTAGGCTCCCACATGAGGTCATGGGGTGAAGATCAAGACTTAGCATCAGGCCATTGTGGGTTTGGGTACTGATTCCATCATCTACTAGCTTTACTTCATTTGCAATATGGGTATACAATACTACATTCCTCATGGGGATGCTATGAGGATTAAAGGAGATAATGCATAGAAAATGCTTAGCACAGTACATTGGTGAGCTCAAAATAAAAAAAAGTCATTATGGTGATCATCATGGGCATTATCTATAAAGGACAAAATTGAGAATGTCATACTACAAATGAGGCTGCAGATATACAGATGCCCCGAGGAGTCCCTCTAGCTCCAGGTTCTACAGTCTCTGTCCCTTTAAATGCAGACATCTTGAAATACAGGATGGCCAGCAAAAGAGATGGCTTTGTGACTCTGACCCTACATACATTAGAAAGGAGCAGAGGAGAGAAAAAAAGACTGAAGACTAAGGAGACTTACCCAGATGAAGAGCTGAAACTGCCCCAAATAGAACAGCCAGAAATAGGGAGAGTTTCATGTTGGCTTTTTCCTGCAATGGAGAACATAGTTTGTTAAACACACACATACACACACATACACACACACACACACACACACACACTAACCCCACAGCCACACCATTAGGGACATTGGGAGTGAGGAAAAGAAACAGCAGGCATGAATAGAAGCCAGGATGGGCCAGAAAAGCTAATGCTGAGCCCAGCCTTTGATTCTCCAGGATGCTAGCACTTCTATCTGAATAGAATGAAGCAGACCATGAGGGGCAGACAAGGTTGGCTTTCCCGTGGACCTGAACGTGAAGAGAGGAATATGATTTTTATGTTTTGCACTTAATAAGCCCCTCACAGTCTACGAAACAAAGAGAATCCAGAAACAATGATTATTGGCCTTCCTAGGCCACACAGCGCTTAGAAAGTGGGTTCCCTCCTCAAAGCTCAAAAAGCACATGTGCATCTCTGGTTCCCCAGACAAGGAGACCTTTCACATAACTCAGAAGGAATGTGACAGGCAGAGGATGAGAATTCCTGTCCCTGCTGACCCCCTTGCAACCTGACAGCCACCCACAATCCCAGCCAGCCCTCCAGAACCTCCCAGACCAGGCCAAATGCCTCCCAGGAGATGAACATTTACTTGGAATAACTTCCACTACACCAGAAAGCTCTCACCTGCCCAGAAGTCTTCCCGGGTCCTGAGGAATTCCCAAATCCCAGATCTTCCTTCTCTCCATCCCACAGTGACATTTTATATAGGGACTTTGGAGGAAGTACCCCAGAGGAAGGAAGGTTTTCCACAGCCTGAGGGAGGTGGGAGGGCTGATAAGAACCCTTCATTTCTTCACTTTCTTGGGGAGACCACTCATTACCCTCCAGCTTCTCTCTTGTCACCCCTTTCAGGAACCTGGGAGGCCATTGTCAGATGTCTCAGAGCCAGTGGTTCCTATCCTGTACTGCATTTAAGAATCTCTTTGGGAGCTTGTGCAAAATGCATGGTTCTTCTGCTTTATTGGTGGGAATGTGAACTGTCACAGACATTTTATCCCTGAAGTGTTTTTCATTAACTTCACGGTAAATCTGCCTCCAGGAAAGTTGGAGTGTGGGCATAACCATGAGGACTTAGCAGAAACGAACTTAACTGTAGATGAGGGCTGGCCCCTTAAAGGAAGGTGCAGAGAAAAGGGGTGTGGGCAGCTTTGGGAGTAGTTTGGGACGACCAAGCAGTGGGCACTTGCAAAGGCCTAACCCCAATGATCTCCCACCGCAGGGAGAGAAGGGGTATGATCCCCACACACAAGGCCCATCTCCCTTCCCTGACTCTGCCTTCACCCCTCATCTCCACCCTCAGGATGGTGGGATAACACCACCCCAGGAGCAGCCTCCAGAATAAGACCATGTCTGGAGATCTGACCAGGAGACACTTCAATGAAGACAGCAGTGCATTCTCCAACCAGGAAACACACAGGCATTCCCAGTGAATCCAGCTCTCAGCAGCCTGGGCTGGGGCTGTGGGTGTTCTCTGAGGAGGAGATGGAGGCAGCAGTGTCCTGGAGGGGCCCTCTCCCCCAGCCCTCCCCTTCCCCACACTGGGCTGGTCCTTCTGTGGGGGCATCAGCCCCTCCTGGCCTGAACCCGTGTGTGTGAGCCTGACGCTGTCCCCCCACAGCTGAACTAAGTTAGCACTTCTGTGTGCTAGACTTCGGGTTGACATCAGTACTGATAAAATAGCTAACTTGTCTCTCCTGCATCCTGGTGTCCTCAGCACAGTCACCAACATAATCACATGGACCCGCACACCAACCCTGGTGAGCTTGCTGTGATTTGTTATTAATCCTATTTCATAGAAGAAGAAATGTGCAATACATGGAAATTCAAACTGGAACCCATGCTCATTCCTACCACTACACTGCTTCCTTAATGACTCTGCATGAAGGACCACAGTTAGTGACAACTCACCATTGCAAAGCAGAGGGTTATATGCATTACAGATGTTGTCTAATTCAACTTTTATTTTATTGAAGAAGAAACTGAGGCTTAGTAAGGCTAAGAAAAATGAAATGTAGAACTGGGACTCGAACCCAGAGCTTTGTGACTCTGGTGGCTCGGATCCTGACTTCTGTGCTATGTCTGTCCGGGAAAAATTAGGACATTCCTGGGCACCTTCTTTTCTATATGTGTTGTGTTAAACCAGGTTCTGCTGCAGTAACAAGTGGGCTGCAAAATCTCAAGGTTTCCTACACACAGCAGGTCAGACAGCCCCTTCCATCGGGTAGCTATGCCTTCAGGGACACGGGGACCCCCAGATCCCTGTGGCAAGGACAGTGAGAACAGGAAGATCATAGGGGGTCATTTAAAGGCCAGAAAGAGACTTACATCATTTCCTCCCACATCGCATTGGCCACATCCAGTAGCATGCTGCAGAGCCCAACTTACGCAAGGAATACCAGGAAACACAGTCTACCTCGGTCCCCAGCAAGAAAAAATGGTGAACATTGCACTCTCTGCTTCCTTCTCTCCTTTTCAATGGCTTCTCTTCTCCACAACCACCCTCTCCCCATGCCCACTGACAGTGACACACATCCTTGACTTCTGTGTTCCTTCTGGCAAAACCTCGTTCTCGGCAAGTTACCAATCAACCTCCCAGACCCATTAAGAGATAAGGCCCTTGGAGTTTCTTCTCCTAAGAGTATTTGCTTTTTAATCAAAGGCTATTCAAGACTGAAAGGCCTTAAACAACCAAAGGAATGAATATGTAATGGTTAAAGTTGAGCCCAATAACAGACAGTGCTGGATATTTGAGGGACACATTATCTACACTTGCCTGCCTCAAGCAAGCTTCAATCTGGAGAGGTCTAAGCCCCCTCCTCTCCCTGTCCTCCCTCTACCTCCAGTCTTGGCTGGCAAGATATTGGGTGACTGGGATTGGCTAGAACCAAGTCCCCAACAAGGAGGTAAGTGGGCGCTTGCCATTTAGCCGAAATCCCAGTCCCAGAGCTCCCTATGCAGAGCTTCCTTTACTGCCTATCCCTCCCACCCCTGAAAGCCAGATTCCACTGTTCTTTCAGAAGCAGAGTGTCAAGAATTACCCTGTTGCAGGGTCCGCCCTGTGGCTCAGTGGTTAAAGTTCCACACACTCTGCTTCGGTGGCCTGGGGTTTGCAGGTTAGGATTCCGGGTGTGGACCTACTCCACTTATAGGCCATGCTGTGGAGGCATCCCACATACAAACGAGAGGAAGATTAGCATAGATGTGAGCTCAGGGTGAATCTTCTTCACACATACACGAAAAAGAATTCGCTTGTTGCAGTCTGCAATGCAGGGACCTGGGTGGGGGCCTGACCCCCAGGCAGTTCCCGTTCCATGCCCTCAGGGAGACTGACATGCTGTGATTAGCAGCTTCCTGACACAAACTGCACCCAAGGCTGAGGGACACACCCCTCTGTGGAGGACAGGCCTCTTCACCAGAAGCCGTCCCTGAGGTCCAGCATTGGTGAGATCCATGGCAAGCCCAAGACCCATGGTCCCGTTGTCAGAGGCCTGCTCATATTCAGGGAACTCAGCCCTGCTGCTTCTTTGCCACCCTCCTCCCCTGGGGTTCTCTGACCCTGTCCTGTTCCACCACCTCCAGAACCTTTAGAAAGAAAGCACATCTGGGAAACTGTTCCTTTTGTTCCTGAAACTCCACATCCCATCAGATGCCTGGACAGGCACACACACATGTTCGTACACAAACGTAGACCTGTACACAGATGTGCTCAGACACATACTAACATGTATACACACCCCAAAACATACTGGCCAAAGACACACAAGTACACACATGCGTGCACACACAGACTCACGCATCTTACAGTGCAGAGCTTCATAGGTGTCCACAGACACACAGGTCTATCCATTAATACACAGAGATGTACAAAATGTACACCCTCAGACAACACACAAATACACACTGACTCAAAGATTTATGCACATATACAGATTCACACATACACAGATACACACAGGTATACAAAGAGTGACTCGTTTACACACCAAAATACATATATACGCATGTGCACGTGCATCTGAAGAATATTTGTACCTTCTCCCTTTGCCCCATGTAGAACGACACCCAAAGAAGTATTTCTGTCTCAGAGCGCACCCCTCTTTCTCTCCCCACAACCCAAGGCTGTCTGCCCTCTTAATACCCAGTCTCAGGTCTGAACTTCTGCTTCATCAATGTCAGATCCCACCGGGAGCCAAGCATCCTGCCTCAAACAAGGTAAAGAGCAG